AAAGTGTTAAATAGAATAAAAGCCTGGTGTGTAAATAAGAGAATACTTGTGTCTCTTTCCCTAAATTGGAAGCTTCCATTTGCTTCTTTTCTTTCCAGGGCTTCCCTTATCTCCTCCTTACAAAGGAGATGTTGGAGCCGCAGATTCTGTTTTTGAGGTCCATTTATGAGTAGGAGACTATTTATGAAACTGACTTAAAAGCTAGGGCTCCAGCCTCCACTCCCCTGTATGTCTCTTGCATTAATTCTTTGTCTCCCTATGATAAGCAGATCTAAACAGAGATAATTAGTCCCTTGTGATGGTTATCTCCTTCTCTCTCTGTTTTGCCCATACACATGAGAAATAAGTTAACTCCTAGCCAGTTTTGAGGATGGCCTGTCTCTGCCATATATCCTCACAAGAATTATCAGCAGCACTTCTGGATTCAGAAAGAAGAAGTTAAAAAACAAAAACAAAAAAAAAACCTATGCTTTGTGGCTTTGAATACGGCTAGTTCCCCAAAAGTGATGAAAGCTTGCTCCCCAACTTGGCACTTTTGGAAGTCCTGGAATTTTAGGAGCTGGGATCTACTTAGGTCATTTCGGTTGTGGTCTTACAGAAACCCATAACTTCAGAACCACAAGCTAAATAGCAGTTCCTCTTTATAAATTAATTGCCTCCAGCATTTCATTGTACTAATGCAAAGCTATCTAATACACCTATTTGGACCTTAACTTCAGGGACCTTCCTACCCTAGAGGTAATCCAGTGCTAGTTTAGCCACAAGCCCTACTTTGCTGTCTGTTTGCTTTATGATATGTACATCTTCCTCAGGAACCTTCCAGAGAATAAGGTAACGTATTGAATGCTTTACTCTTGAGTTGGGGGAATAACAAAACTTCTGTTCATTACTTTACAGGAAATACTAAGCCAGTGAGTGAGACATACTGCGTCATCTTTGAGACGTGGTGCAAAATGGAAATACAAGGCCCCAAGAAGTGCAGGGAAGTCAGTCTCTTGATCCCACCCGTCTGCTCTCTGAAGAGACAAAGCTTCACACGAGGCCTGACACACTCGGAAACTGGATGGGGTAGACAAAAGGACTTGCTTCTGGGATTTGCCTCACAAAAGGGCAGGGGTAGGCCAACTTGCCTGTCCCAAGCTCTTCCAGGACCGCCCCCGCATTTTCCTCCGCCTGTCTCCACACAGACAGTTCCAAGGCCAAACTGCTCAGCTCCTTGGTAAGACCTCCTGGCGTCTTCCCACCCTTCCAGGGCCGAGTTCCCTTTCTGTTCCTAGGGGTAGATTTTGTAAAGATCTCATTACAGTTGGGAAGGTTCTTTCCCCGTCTTCTTAAGAGGTACTAATCGGGGAGGGTTTTTTTTTCTCATTAATTTTATTGGTACATTTTAGGTATACATTATGATCACATGCAGTATTGGGAATTTGTACCTGGACATGATAACATGATCTATCAGGGTTCTTATTTTTCCCCATTCCCCTTCCCTCCCTTCAACCCTTTCACCCCTCCCTATTTACATAAGCTTTGTTTCTATTTTTTTCCTTTTTTTCATTTTTTCTTTCCCTTCCTCCCATCCCCTTCCCTTATGAACATTTTATTCCTATTTCACAATATCGATTCTACATTTATTCTTTCATTTATACTTTGTTATACTTTCATTTATACTTTCAATTTATACTTTTATACATTCATTTTCTAACACCAGAAAAACAATTCGGTATTTACACACGTGTGACCTATTTATTTCACTTAAGAGTATGTCCTCAAGGTGCATCCATTTAACTATAAATGTCTCGAGTTTATCTTTCTTTATGGCTGAGTAGTACTCCATTTTATAAAAAGGAAAACACATCTTCTTTATCCTATCACCAGTTGATAGGCGTAATCCAGGAGTTTTTAAAGTTTTTGATTGAAATACTTCAGCCTTTGAAAACAGTTATGAAAATGGAATAAGCAAGCTAATTTTCCTGAAGTCTTAGGCTAAGACTTCCAATTATCAGGAATGTCTATTGAAAAATAAAATAAATCTAATAGGTCACAGGACCTGAAAAAAGAAAATGTATACGTAAAGAGGCAGAGTGAATAATGACAATGCTAAGACAAATAACAACAGGAACTTTGACTCCATCTATTTGAATAGTAGGACAGTGTGCATCTAGTGTAGGGAAAACACCTACTATACAAGGATCAGAGATTAAGATGAAAAGGAAAATTTTGAAGACATAGAAGGAACTGAGATAACTATGATTTTCCTTCAGGCTGGCCCCCAGTACCACCCTTACACTTATCTCCAGCCACAGGAACTATACATCTAAAGCTCAAGCCCCTAATATAAAACTCAGAGGAAACTAGAAAAGAGCTAAGCGTTAAGTGCATCATCAGTGGCTGAAGCCAAGAAGCAGAAACATATACACACTCACACACACATACATACATAAAAGTGACTTCCAAGATGTAGAAAGCTGAATTGAACATACGTTTTCTACATCACTCACACCCACAAGTTAAATTACAGCATTTCCTGTCCTTTTACTTTGGAAACAACGCTCATGACAGACAAAATCATGACAGAGAGATGAATCATGCTTTTTTAAATGAAATGAAAGGCACGAGAAAATAAGTGGTAAAGCCTGGTACAGAGCAATAATTATAAGGAGAGAGAGAGAGACAGAGAAAAAAGAGTGGAGAGGGTGCAAAGGTAAACCCTGAAGATTCCTCAAATTGTCAGGAAAAGAGATGAGAATGTCTACAAGAGTCAAAGAGAGAATAAACCCAGGAAGTAGGTGAAAATTCCTGAGATTAGCTCATCAAGGAAGCCCAAGGAAGAGAGTGTTTTTAGTAAGCAAGGTAGTCAATACTCATTTCAAATGCTTCTGAGAAAGTGAAAAAATAAATAAGGATCAAAATGTGTAATAGATAATGTGAAATAGGAAGAAAAGGTCTAAAGGGGAGGAGGAAGTGGTGGAGGAGGAAAAAGGAAAGAAGGGAAAGGAAAAAAGTATGAGAAAAGGAAAAATGGAAACAAAGTCTTTGCAAATAGGGCAGGGCAGAGGGTTGAAGGGAGGGCAGGGGGATGGGGGAAAAATAAAAACCAAGAGCCAGGGATTTGGCTCAGTGGTTCCGCCGCCTGCCTCCCTAGTGCAAAGGCCTGAGTTCAATCCCCAGTACCAAAAAAAAAAAAAAAAAAACCAAGATATAT